AGAGACACTTGTACAACCATGTTTGTTGCTGCTCTTTTCACAATATCTAAGAGATGGGAGCAACCTAAGTGTCCCTTAACTGATGAGTGCTTAACAAAAATGTGGTGTATTTACACAATGGAGTTCTATTCAACAGTAAAGAAACATGAAATAATGAAATTTTCATGTAAATGAATGGATCTAAAAACTGTTATATTAAGTGAAGTAACACAGACTCAGAAAAACAACATATGTTCTCCCACAAATGTGGATCCTAGCACCAAATCCTTCTATATGAGTATGTATAATATAACTACAAGAACCAGGATAATGAAAAGGAGCCATGGAGGTAAAGGGAAATAAAGAACCTGAGAGGGAACAGTAGGAGACAGGTGTTATTAAGGGAAATATGGGTTAAAAAATGGGGTTATTTAAATGGAAGGGGGGAGGGAGAGTTATACAAGGAACCTTGGGGATAAAGGGAAAGAAGGAGCTCAAGACAGGTGGGACCATAGGAGAAGGGTATTATTAAGGGAGAAATAGGGAAAATGGGGGCACTTTAAGTGGGGAAACCATGGTGGAAGGCTTAGACAGTGAGAGAGATAAATAATGCCTAGCTAGTTTTAAAAAACCAGAGGAAACCATATTAGTCCAACAAATTATACACACAACTAGTTCAAGGAACAAAATATATGTCTAGTCAAGGTTTATCTGAGAATGTTTAGTTTTTGTCCAAGCTTTATCTACATAGCACAGGGTAATTAAAAGTGCCAGACTGGTGGAACTAACGTTCTTGGACATTTAACAGCCATACTTTGAGGTCTATACTAATCTGGTCAGAGGGACTTAGGGGATAGTTGTTGCTCCTTGCCCTCCTAGGTCGACTAGTTCCAGGGGACTATGGTGCATCTCTCAAAATGTTCTGTATCTATGGTGAGTCACCTGTCCTCTTGTTCAGGGAGGCCATGGAGACCCCACGAGATGGACTTGAACCAGTGTCCAGTTTACAAATAGGAGGGTCAGCACAGAGGAAACCTTTCCTCCATGCTTCCAAATGAAGCCATCCATGGTCAAGCAGGACTTTTGACTTATCTTCACATATATGGAACTGGTGAAAAAAAAAAAAAAAAAAGAGCCAGGGGCTCCTCCCAACCCCATGTGACCCCTGAGGAACAGATCCTCAAATGACCTTAAGAGTAAAAATAAGTTGGTTTATTTGGGCCAACTGTATGGTCTTAAACACCCAAAAGGAAAGTATAATCAAAGATTAAAGTGATCAGTATATTTCTTTAAGAGTCCATGTGTATAGCTAAAGGCTACATGACAAGAAACAATGTCAAACAAGAGATACCTTCCTTTGAGCTGTTGTCCAGGGTGGCCCAAGAGACTCCCAGACAGTAACCTAGCATAGAACTGGGAAAATGAACAACAGACCCCAATCTTATCTAAAGGAATGTTGGCAACTGATTGCTGCTAGATGAGGAAGAGCTGATCTTCCTAAAACAAGGGACTCTAGATAGGCTGACTAGACTCAGCAGATGGACTTGCACTGGAAACAGCTGGGGGCACCGACAACACAGTGGGCAGTAACAGGGATGACAGAGTATATGGGCTCCAGTGGGGTGGGGAGACTATAAGAGGGTGCCATTTTGGGATGCAGGTATAAAGATGAATAAGATTGTTTGGGATGTTCTGTATGAAATACACAAAAAAATAAAATAAAAAAATTTTGAAAAGATAATGTATGGCTATTCATTTGGAAGTAGCACAAGGAGTGTTCTGGAGCTCCCCCTTCAGAGGCTTGACAGGTTTCAAGGACTGCCCAGGAACAGTAGATTATTTCCCAGAGGCCTGGAAGAAAGATCACTTTTAGCTCCACATAAATCAGGCCTGGTTTACTCTGTGGTATCAAACAACAGTGTTACCCCAAGTTCTCTCTCGCTACTCCATAATAATTCTTTTTTTCCCAGGAGCCCCTTGCCTCCTCCCTGCTCAAAGAGCTCTTGAACCTTCCACCCAGAGACTACTCTCCCCCACCAGAGTGATTGAAGACTGGGTCCTCTTAGCAATAAGACATGTCTGAACTATAAACATATAATTACTTAAGTGCAGTGATTGGGGAGGAACAGCACCATCACCAGCATCTTTAGTCAACCATGGGATATTTATTGAGCACGTGTGAACACCACTCTGAATGCTACAGGCCATACTTAGAAGCAGGCAGAAGTCTCTGGCTCAGGATGCTTATAGTCTAGTCTGGAAGAACAGAAGGAAAGATAAGGATCAAAGGCCACAGCCTCAGCCACTGCTTATTCAGAGAGAGGGTGGGTGACATCTGATAAGCTGGAGGGGTAGCTCAGAAGGTCTAAGTCTTGCCATCTAGGATGATTTCCACAGACTGAGAGGGTGTGGTGGAAGTGGCAAAAGCCAACTTTCTGGAAGGAGTGGGAAAGGCTGAGACAGCTGAACCATTCATCTGGTGGGTATAAGGAGTGAAGGCCTGGAATTGGGGTGTAGAGCTCTAAGGGATCAGGTTATTGAACTTGCTTGAAATGGCATCCCAGACCACAGGCTTATGCAATGTGGAAGGTCGTGAACTTCAGGCCCCTAATCCTTCGCTGAGGCCCAAGGTGAGAGGTCCAGCTTTTCAATGACAGAGCAATCCACAAAACCATGGGGGTAGCTGTTGGCCTGGAATGGGTTTAGTGGGACCTTGGTGATGCGGGTATTGTCACAGACAAGGCGTGAAAAGGACATCTTCTGCAGAGAGTCCCGTTGCTTCTCCGTGAAGACCCCAGGGTTCTCCCACCAGAACCTACAGAGAGAGAGCAGGGTCACTCCACACCGTCCAGCCGCTAGCCCTTTCCCACACTGCCAAAGGAGGCCACTGGGATCATGGACAAACCCCACCCTTGGAGTCAGACCTCACAAAAGACGTTGGAAACTCCACCGAGAAGAATGCTCCCCCTGCCATCAAGAATAGTTTTACTTGCCTGTCTCCATCTCGGATCCGCTGGAACTGCTGGCCCAGAAGGCAGGCCAGGAGATGCCCCACCCGGCCCCTGTGTATGAGGGGTTCAGCAATAGCTCCGATCCAGATGTCGATGTTTTCAGCAGTTCCATAGAGACCCAGCAGCTTCTTGGCAAGCACCTCATTCCCCAGCACAGCACTCAGCTCGTCTAGTGTCCTTGGCTGTGAGAGGCCACAGAAACCTCTCCAGGAGTTGTACCCTAGGGCAAGGAAGCTAAAGCTGTCTCATCCTAAGGCCTCCCTGCTTGTGTTTCCCTGCTTGGGGACATACCCACTCCACCTCCAGAAGTCCTAGAAGGTTTGGGTTCAGAGCTTTTGTAAATCACTGGTACTGTCAGTATTAGGGGAGTGTTAACAACTTTCCTGGGATTTATTATGGGCCCAGGCACTATTCTAAGCACTTTACAATCAGGCAAATGGAAGAATAGAAATACTGAACAGCTTGACTAAAGTCCAGTAACCAGCATTATCGTTAATATTGATTGTTAGTATAACAGGATCTAGAATCACCTAGGAGACAAATCTCTAGACGTGCCTAAGAGGGAGCTTCTAGATTAGGCTTATTATGGTGGGAAGAACCACCCTGAATGTAAGCCTTACTATCCCATAGACTGAATAAAAAAAATAGAAAATATGGGGCTGGAGAGATGGCTTAGCAGTTAAAAGCACTGGCTGCTTTTGCAGAGGATACAGGCTCGATTCCGAGCACCCAAATGGCAGCTGACAACTGTCTGTAACTCCAGTTCCAGGGGATCTAACGCTCTCTTCTGACTCTGAGGCATTGCATGACATGGCACACTTACACACATGCAGGCAACATACTCCTACACATAAAATAAAAATAATAAATAAAATTTTTTTTAAATAGAAAAAAAGGTGCACCAGTAATTCTCTCTCTGCTTCCTCACTGGATTCAATGTGAGCAGCTCCCACATGCTCCTGCCACCATGCTGGACTGTACCCTCAAACTTCCTCAGGATGTTCTTGTCAGGTTGTACCACAGCAAAGAGAAAGTAACTAATACAACGAGCAAACAGCACAGTTGGGATTTGAACTTGGGCAGTCTGGCTCTTAATTACAAAGAATTACTTTTCGTGGGTACAAAGGAAAGCTCCAAGAGCCGTGGGTTCTTCTCCATTCTCCCCTCCCTTCCTCCTCTCCCCCTTTCTTTTTCTCTCTGACAAGATTTCTCTATGAGCTCTGGCTGACTTTTAACTAACAATCTTCTTGCCCCAGCCTCTCAAGTGCTGGGATTATAGGCCTGTGCCACCACACCTGGCTCTTTCATTCTTTCTTAATCTTTTCCGGACTTTTAAACTAGTTTAATGAATTGGTTGTTGATCTCTTTTTTTCTCTAAGGAAATAAGACAACACCAGGTATGTGATCATGTCTGCATTAGGAATATTTCATGGATAGGTAAGTGGGTTTAAAAAATGGGCTTGCAGCCCAGCGTGGTGGCACACGCCTTTAGTCCCAGAACTTGGGAGGCAGAGACAGGCAGATCTCTGTGAGTTCAAGGCCAGCCTGGTCTACATAGTGAGTTCCAGGACAGCTGGGGCTACAGGGAGACCCTGTCTCAAAAAGACCAAAAGGAAAAAAAAATAAAGAACCCCAGGTTCAGATGGATCCACAACAGAATTCTACCAAACATTTAAAGAAAAACTACAACTGGTGCTTCTCAAACTCTTCCACAAAATAGAAATAAAAGGACACCTTTAAGTTCTTTGTGAACTTTATCTGGCTGTCTCAAAAAAACAAAAGGAAAAAAAAATGGGCTTGCTTCTAGTTTCAGGATTGATAAGTTGCTCCCAGTTCCAGAGAAAAGTATCCAGGAGCCCCAGAAGGTAGTCAAAAAGTTCTCTGAACCAGGCCAGACCCTAGACCCACTCACCAGGTTGCCCATGGTCCCGGCTCCGCTGTATGTTGATGGCAGCCAGGTCAAAGCCATGGATGGTATGATTTGGCTGGAACAGCTTGTTGCGCAGTTCCCCTGTCATCATTTTATTCTGTCTCATCAACTTGGCTTTTTTGGCTAGCAGTCCTCGCACCAGAGGATCAATTCCACCTGCAGAGAGAGACCGAAAGGCCAGACTTAGTGAGGGACAGGGTGATGGCATCTTCTATGCCAGCAACGTCTTGCCCCAGATGTCTTCTTCCAGTTGGAAGTGGGGTCCACTGAACATCTCTGGCTAGAGGCAGGACGAGAAAAGCACAGTGCAGTAGGCCCTGTGTGCCAGGAAAAGGGGAGTCCAGGCTGCCCTTTCTGGGATGGCAGAAAGGGGCACTCATGGGCCGGTGGATGGATATCAAGAAGGTTTTCAAGTTCCAGTTCATGGAGTCAGCCCCTTCTCTTCAGGACATTTCCTCAAGGAAGAGTGCAGCTGGGAAGAGGGACCATAAATCTTCAGGAAATGGCCCTGACTCATCAGTCCTAGAGGAAAGTCAGTTTCAACTAAGGAATAAAGCTGCATCCAATTTCTGACACCTCCTGGCAGTAGAAGGCTCTAGAAAAGAGCAGAAAAGATCTACCAACCCCACAAATTCTGTCTTCAAAGTTGAGAGGAGACAAGGGGAGGGGAAAAGATAGGAGAATTCCAGGCGCTTGGGAAGCCAGAAGCAGGAAATAAATAATAATAATTATTATTTAGCAATCACTTCCAGGTGTTCAGAACCACAGCGTGGTGTGCCACATATCTATCACATTTCATTTTTAATATCCTTATGAGATGGGTACGATTATTGCTCTCATTTCACTGATGGGGAAATTCAGGCTCAGTGAGATGAACTTCCTTGCCCAAGGTCACACGGGAAGTGCAGAGATCGTGACTCCCCAGTCAGGTATCCTTATAAGCAGGTTGCAGAGTGGGAGGGCCCGGGTGAGAGCACTTTCCCAAAAAGACTTACCATCTTTGACTATCCTCCAGGTGTTGAAGAAAAGGGTATGCAGGGGGAGTTCTGGTTCTGAACCCCATGGCTGATAATTCTCATCCAGGCGAGACACAGTGGAGGGGATCTCCAAGTGGCCAAAGCGGAAAGCAAAGGTAAAGACATTGGAAATTCGAGGGTCTACAGATTCATTGTAGCCTTGGTATGGGGGTATCCACTTCTCCATCTCATCACCCAGCACAATGGGTAGGTAGTCCCTAAAGGTGATAATCTAAAGGGAGAAACAAGATATGAGGAAAGGACATGAGAAGGCTGAAGCCCTTGCTGAGGGAGGCTGGAGAGGTACTGCTGTCAAATGGATAGTGTTTGTACCCACTTTCCATTCCTATGACCATGGCAGACATTGCTAATCAATCACGGTATTCTTTCTGTTATTTCCTTTTTGGGGGGGTGTCTTTTTGAGACAAGGTAGACCAGGCTGGCTTGAACTCACAGAGATCTGCCTGCTTCTGTCTCCCAAGTATTGGGATTAAAGGCGTGCGCCACCATGCCCAGCCTTTCTTTCTGCTATTTCTCATGATATCTTCACATAGGCTATATTAATTGGTCATTTCAGTTGGGCATTTGAGGTATGCTCTCTGCTCTAAGCAGCAAGATTTCTGGCTTTAATTTTTTTTATGTAGATATAGGTCATCTTAGTAATTAAAAATAAGTACATGGAGCTTCTGGTTTTAGAACAAGGTGATATAGTTTTATTTTTCTTTCTCCTCTCTATTCACTATAACTAAACATCCTGGAAATTGTTCAACAGGAAATGATGAAAGGACTCTGAGCCAAGTATCTGATGCATGTCTATAATCCCAGCACTCCAGAGGCTGAGGCAGGAGGTTTGCAAATTTGAGGCCAGCCTGGGCTACATACTGAGACTCTATTTCAAAGAAACAATGCTTAAACAACAACAAAGAAGTGGATGTGGTGATACACACCTGTAATCCCAGTATTGAGAAGGTGGAGGCAGGAGGATCAGTGCAATGTCAGTTTTGTCTATATAGTGAGTTTGAGGTCAACATAAGCAACAGGAGACCTAGCCTCAAAACAATAACAGCAAACAATAACACATACACACAGAAAAGAAAAAGCAGAGCAAACAAAACCCCCAGAAAGAAAAATAAAACTTGGGGGCTGGAGAGCTAGCTGGAGAGCACTTGCTGCCCTTCCAGAGGACCCAAGTTCTGTTCCTAGCACCCATGTCACAACCACCTGTAACTCCAGCTCCAGGGGATCTGACACCCTCTTTTGGTCTCTGAGAGCAACTGCACACACATGGCATACCCACACATGATGCATAAATTTAAAAAAAATAAACATCCTGAGAGCTAGAAAGAGAACATGACTGGTCTAAGGACCTCCGAACTTGAGGAATGACAGACAATGCAGCGAGTTCTACACAGCCCCAGATTGGACTGGGTACAGGAAAGACTGGCAGGTTGGGCCTCCAGCAAAAATAGTCAAAAGAATCCAAGAAAAGCCTGCTTGCCTCTTTCCAAAGACCCAGAGCCAGGGAAATTCAGCACAGACTGGCAGAGAGCCCTGATCCCTGCTTTACACCTCAAGCCCTCATGAAGCCCTAGCCCCCTGATCTGCTCCTCAGTCCAGACTGGACAGTCTGATCAGCCTGCCAAGGGGGAAGCCGTGGAGCTCTGTGTCTGTTTGCTCCCCACCAAGGAGACCCAGGCACCGTGACTTCTGCTTCTATAAAAGGTTGCTTAGCAACAGCAGGCAGCCAGAAAAAACTTGGGTGCCCTGAAGACAGCACCAGCAGGGACTGAGTGGGAAGCTCAGAAGCCCTGGAAGAATGAAGTGGACCAGAGCAGCATTGGAAAGGCTCAGGGAACTCAGCTGTTGCTGAAACTAAAACAAAAGCAATGCAGAACCTACACGCTAAACCCAACTGGGCAACTCCATGCTAGAATAGAAGATTGAAATAGGAACACCATCACCAGGATGTTTAAGATAGTGTTGAAAATCATTCATAATACTGAGGACCAGGAAAGCCACATTTTGAGAAAAGACTCTCAACTGATGGAATTAGCTCATGAGAATTTTATTTAGGGCTAGGGAGATAACTCAGTCAGTAACCTGCTTGCCTTACAAAGACCTGAGTTCGATTCCTAGAGTCCATGTAAAAAAGCTGGGTGTGTACTTGTAACCCTAGAGCTGGGGAGGTAGTGACAGGTGGATGGAACCCTGGGGCTTTTTAGCCAGCCAGCCTAGCCTACTTGGTAAGTTCAAAGCCAATGACTCCATCTCAAAATAAGATCAATGGGTTTCCTGAGGAATGACACCTGAGGTTGTCCCCTGATCTCCACATCCACGTGCATATATATATATACACACACCTCTACACGTGAATTCTTCCACACAAAACACATACAAACACACAAAGATTTTCTGTTTATTGCAGTGCTGCAGCTTGAGCTCAGGGGTTTATGTGTGCTAGGCAATCACTCTACCACCCCTAGCCTTACAGGTGATAGACTTTAAAGTTGCCATTTTAAAAATTGCACAGTAAAGCTGAGCGTGATGCTGCACACCTTTAATCTCAGCATTCAGGAGACAGAGGCAGGTGGATATCTGTGAGAACAAGGCCAACCTGGTCTACATAGCAAGCTCTAGGCCGGCTGGGGCTATGGGGAGACCCTGTCTCAAAAAACAAAACAAAACAACCACAACAAAAAGTCCACAGTAATCAATTACAGATTTTCCTGAAACAAGTGAAAAAAAAAAAAA